AGCTTAGCCTATTCCCTTCTATCTCATATAAAGTGTCTTCAAGTTTTGCACTACTATTTTTTGTTATGTTTATCATTAGGGCTACAATCAATCTCTAATTAAATATATTAAATGAAAATTTGAACACATACAAAACTCTAATAAGTAATTACAAACATGTCCATGCATTATCAAACTGTAAATTGTTGAGTATCATTTATGTTTGTCAGCTTACCAAAGGGTTTAAGCTACACATCAATTTCTAAATAAAATGACTAAATATAGACGGTTAAGAACTTATTGCAAATTTCAAGAAATGAGTTAAGAACAAGAATTGCACAGTAAGGAAATATTTTAGAACTCGAGCTAATTAGCCAAATAAATTGGGACATTGAACCTACTCGCTCACCAACTCTTTATCATTTGTTGGGTAAACTATTGCCCTAATTCACTGGGCATAGCATTGTGTAATGGAAATTCATTATCAAAATTTTACACCTCATCATCCATCACCCACAGTTCTGAGCAAATACCTGGTCCCTACAATAAGTTCATGTTTTCTGTTTTCAGTCTTGACATTCCAATAATTTTGCAAAGTCGAAGCAAAACAAAAACACCTTAAAGAAAAGCAAGGAGATAAAATTTGCATCGTGGTACGCAACGAATTTTTTATATATTACCAAAATTTTCTCCGACTATGTCACCAATTTTTATGTATTTTTCTAACCTAACCAACTGCTTCGCTTTTACACTCAGGATTTTTACCTTAAGATCAATGTATATTATCTAGATCTAAAAGTTAGAATGTCAGAAACTACAAAAATAAGCTTTTTTCCGAAATTTTAATTGATTCATCTCTGAAATATTCACTGAATTTTGGAAAATTATGTAAATTATGTTACTGAACACATTACTTAGAAATATTTTTGAACTAATCAGCCTATTGATCCTGACCTTAATAGAGTTCGTTGAGTGAAAGAAGGCGATTCTATTTGGAGTTTCCATGGTCAGTATGGTACATGTAACATTTTGCGCATATTCAATGCTAGGAATTGGGAAAGACATATAATTCTGATTGAAATGTTATAACTCAAGTGCTGGTCACAAGGTATAATGGGATTTGTAGTCGGTAAAATGCTTGATGGACTTTATTAGGCCAAAGTGTCCAAACAGTACTGCAATTTTTCAATATTATAAAAGTTAAGAATCAATATCTTAAATTTTACTCTCGACTTATTTTTTTCGATATTCGCTTTATTAGATTCTCATTAGCTTTGCTTGTTTCTTAATAAACAGCTCTTATTATTTTCGAATCAACCCAAGTTTCATCAGATGTTCCTTGTTTTTTACTCATCATTTGTAAGGTATTTTATTCAATTCTGCGCCTGTATATCCATGCTGTCTAGTTAAATGCCATACTTGTCTAGTGCTAATTGAAGCCTTCAAATAATATTTACAAGAAATTCTGCCGATTGAATATCGTATATAAAGACAGCGGTGGGATATTAATTGTAAAATGGCAACAATAATAGAATTCAGTCACATTCAGCATTTTACTCACTGATTTGACTTCCTTGATCACTATATTCTGGTTGTTCTAAATGACATCTTAATACAAGTTCATGATGATACTAAGATCATTAAAGCTAAAAGTGAAGTATTACTTTGCAGGCTTTATTAAGTATATTCATACGAGTTGCAGCAAGATCTTCCCGGCTAAAATGTAGGGTGGAAATAATAAAATCCATAAAATTTAATTTAGAAAAAAAATAAAATATCAATGATGCAAATATAATATTATATACATATAACTGTAATCGATAAATATTTAGCCTCCTACCTTGAAATATATTTATTTATTTCAAATGGCAGGCTTTATGATATTTATCATTAGCCCTTAATCTTTGACTTCAGCTTCCCCCAAGGGTAATGATATTTATCATTAGCCCTTAAACTTTGATTTCAGCTTCCCCCAGGGGTCTGCCTCATCATTTATTTCAAATGGCAGGCTTTATGATATTTATCATTAGCCCTTAATCTTTGACTTCAGCTTCCCCCAAGGGTGGGGGGGGGGTACATATATAGCAGTTAATTAATAGCAATTCATTAGCTGTCTTCTTGCTTCCCAGTATCTCTGTGTTTCCGTCGTTGTCTTTAGTTGCTTCCCAGTATCTCTGGCTTTCCGTCCTTGTCTTTAGAGTGGGACACCGAATCAGGTGGGTCTTCTCCATTTCCTCTTGATGAACACCGAATCAGGTGGGTCTTCTCCATTTCCTCCTGTATAGGATCTCTGGCTTTCCGTCGTTGTCTTTAGGACTGGACACCGAATCAGGTGCCCTATCGTTGTCTTTAGGGCTGGACACCGAATCAGGGGGGGCTGTCCTTGTCTTTAGAGCTGGACACCGAATCAGGTGGGTCTGCGTTGTCTTTAGAGCTGGACACCGAATCAGGTGGGTCATCACCATTTCCTCCGCTAGACACCGAATCAGGTGGGTCTTCTCCATTTCCTCCTTAGGTTACATAGGGGTGGGTCTTCTCCGTTTCCTCCTGTAGGTCACATAGACAGGTGGGACTTCTCCATTTCCTCCTGTAGGTTACATAGAGTATATGTGGGTTGAGTGTATACTCTCAATCTGTGAAGGTGTTTTGATGTAGGTTACACAGAGGGCATGTGGGTTGAGTGTATACTCTCTTAGATTAAGAATCAGATGGGTCTTCTCCATTTCCTCCTGTAGGTTTCACATCAGGTGGGTCTTCTCCATTTCCTCCTGTAGGTTACAGATCAGATGGGTCTTCTCCATTTCCTCATGTAGGTTACATATGGTGGGTCTTCTCCGTTTCCTCCTGTAGGTCACATAGACAGGTGGGACTTCTCCATTTCCTCCTGTAGGTTACATAGAGTATGTGGGTTGAGTGTATACTCTCAATCTGTGAAGGTGTTTTGATTGTATACTCCTAATCTGTGAAGGTGCTTCGCCAGAGTGTATAATCCCAATCTGTGAAGGTGTTTTGCCAAGCACGGTACGTAGTCTAAACTCAGCAACGGCTTCGATTCTTGGCCAAAGTTAAACTCAGCAACGGCTTCGATTCTTGGCCAGTCGGGTATGTTCAGCAACGGCTTCAATTCTTGGCCAGTCGGCTATGTCGGAAAGTGCCACTGTCCAATGTTTCTCCTTTGTTCGAGCTCTAAGTTCGTTGCACCTTAAGGTCTTGAATTCTCTCTTGATTAAGTCCTTCATTGTGTGGTAAGACATTGACCGGTCCATGCATTGCAAAATCGTTGTCCCCTTCTTAGCAAGTGTGTCAGCAATCTCATTGCCTTTAATGTCACAGTGACCAGGAATCCATCGTAGGACCACTGTTTTGTTTTTCTCTCTCACCAGCTGATAGAGTTTTCTACATTCCTTTATCTCAGCTGTTTTGGGTGGCTCTCTGCTTCCAATTGAGTTTATTGCTCACTGTGAGTCCGAAAGTATCACCGCTTTGGTGAATTTCGTATCCAGGCAACATAATTGACATAGTGCTATCCTAATGGCCTCTATTTCTCCTTCAAAAGCGGATCTATTATGGCCCCCTGCTGCGTAGAAAGAGAAGAGTTCAGAATAGACACTTGCACCAACGTTTGCTTGGTTTTTTATGTATGACCCATCAGTGAAGACTTGGAGCCATTGATCTCCATGATAGTTAACATTGATTGTCCCAAGGGCCAGTGATCGCATTTGCTCTGGAGGAGTGTTTGATTTCCTGAAGAAATCGAGCAGTTGGGTGCAACACACTACATCAGTGTCTGCTAATGGGTTCATGGGGGGAGAGAGACACCTTGAAATATACAACCCAATAAATAGAAATTAGAATTTATCGTCAAATTATATATTCATGTACGCAATAGACCCATTAATATTAACTTAATATATTTAAACTTATTTTCCACAGCTGTGATTTTTTAAATGTAATTTACATTTCAAAGTGGGACTAAGTGTGGACAAGATGAAACTTTCCTAACAAATTTGAGCTCACCGAAAACCTCTAATTAACATAACATATATATCTATATATATGTATAATACCTTGAATATTGCTAAAACGTGTTCTCCAAATTCTTTAATTTTTCATTTGATCAATGAGTTTGAAATTATATAAAACTTTAATCATCTAATTGAACTTTGGCTCCATAAAATCCACGGTGACAAGCTAGCGACAAAAAATCGGTTCATGTTTTACGTAAGATTTTATTTCACTTTTTAATTCGCAAGTGCTAAGCAAAAAAAGGTTTAAATAATATAATTATCCGAAATTTTAAACCGGTTTTCCACTATTTATTAATTAATTTTGAGGACTTACGTCATGGAAATTTCAATTCTCAAAATAAAGTATTACCGTGGAAACTGTCTGGCTTACTTATCTTACTTTTAAATAATGATGATATTTATCCGTGTTTAAATTAATTACTTTTATGGAATATATAACCTTTTATAATGCGATAAGAGGTTCATCTTTTATAAAGACGTCTAGTGGTTCGACTGTTACAAAATTGAGTATATAATTACATTATAAATAAATACTATCTTTGATACTTGCTGAATATAATGAACACAAATGAAATTATTTGGACCATTAAGGATTTCTTTCGTTTCAAAAAGGTGTAATATTCAGGATAAAGTTATAAATGGCATTTCATGTTTTATTTTGAGTTTTGATTTGTGTTGTCAATTTTATTAAAGTGTACGATTGTTAAAAGGAAAATTGCTTTCAATCAAAGATTATTGTTTTACATTTTTAGACGAATTATTCAAATAAAGCAGAAGGTATGAATTTCATATATACAAGTTTAACTGTGCAATATAATTAACAATTGGCTTAATAGCTGGTAATTTTTAAAGAATAACTAAATTTTATTTTTTTTGAAAAAATTTTCAAAAATAAACTTATGAAAATTGGTTTCAATGATAAATTGAGGAGATTAATGAAAGTTGTACAATATCAGCAATTATTATTTATGTGAAAAAAAGTGAATGATTCATTCATCTCAGCAAGGGTTTACAT